GACAGAGCGACGAAAACGACTGTCGGAATCAGTCTGCTGCCTCAACGGATTCCCGAAGCACGCACCGCACCACGCGCGTTCCTTCGCCCGAAAGGGGCTGTCTGTCCGTCCGTCCGTCTGTCCGGCCGGCCGGCCGCCTGGCCGGCGATGATGAAGGGTCGAGGACGAATTTTGTCTTTCTCTGTCTGATGGCGGCAAGGCCCGGCGGCGGCCAGGCGGCGTGTGTGGAGAGGCCCCGGGGAGGACGAGGGCCTGGACGAGGGCCTGGGCGAGGGCCTGGGCGAGGGCCGGCGCGGCCCGGCCGAGGCCGAGGCCCTCGGGGCCACAAAGGGGCATTGACGCCGTCCACTATTATATCACGCCAGAATTGTGAATGCGACGTCCGAGATGGGTCGACCCCAGGGCCCCGCCCCGCCCCGCCCCGCCCCGCCCCGCCAAAAGAGGCCCATCAGGCCCCGGGGTGGGGCGCCGCCTTTCTGAGGGAATGGCAGATTAGAAGGCGTGCACGGTCTGCGAAATTGATAACCAGAGAGGAATCAAACAGCGTTAGGGGAGGCGCGGCGCGGCGCTGACCACCCAGCTGTATAATACAGCGCTTTGTCCCCGCGCGCCGACGTCGCTCTGTCTGTCTCACTCGCACCCACGCCGGAGAGGCGGGCCGCGCCGCGAGTGCGAGAGAGACAGAGCGAGGCAGAGCGGCATGCCAGGCAGGTTAACCCGTTCCTCTATGGCGATTGATGAGTGTTATGGGGAAGTCGGTCATCCATCGCGCGACGCACAGTGGACCAGAGGACCGGTGGAGGCAGCCAAAATTCTAAACGCGTTTTGAGCTTTAAAGTTGCTAAATAGGGCTCGAACCGAACATGTGACCCCACCAATGGAATGCTCTCCGAACGAGGAATCCATTGGTGGGGTCACACGTTCCATTCGAGTCCGATTTAGTGACTCCGAGATTTTGGCCGCGTCCACCGGTCCTCTGGCCCACTGTGCGGCGCTGATCAAAGAAAGCGCGGAGCAGGCGAAGCTGGCCCTCCTGCTGACCCACTGCGCCGGTCCCCGTTACCTAACGTTTCAAATTCCCCTTTCCTTTTTTTGCACCCCTTTTTTCGTTTCCTTGATCCAGGCGCGGCTCATCCTCCTTAATCTTTAAGCCTCCCCGGTGGCCGCGGCCGCGTATGAATATGGATCGCCATATCCGGATTGCCACGGTCTCGGCCACCGCATCCGGAGGGCCAAAAAACAAAACAAAAAACTTTTTTTTATACATATACATTCTGCGTGTGCGCGCCAGGCCTCCGACCATCCCCTCGCCATAACTCTCTGCAAAGGCTTCAAACATTCAGAGAAAAAATGAAAGAGAAAACAAGAGCAGCAACAAAAGTCCGCATTGATTAGCCAATCCACGCCCGGAAGGAACCGTGGAATTCGTGTATTTTGGGGGCGGCCCGGCGGCGGCAGGACGGAGGACCGCCACGTGGTGGGCCGCGCTCTTTTTCATCTTTTACTCCGCCTGCCATTGGAGCGCTCCGGAGATTTCGGATGCCTTTTGTCTGGCGCGTTTTAATATATTCGCGACCCTCAAAGGGACACCTCGGCCGCGCAGGACAAAGACGCGAAGACCGCAGGGAACTACTGTCCGAACCACGAGCCGGTCGGCGCCGGTCGGCCGGCCGCGCTGGTTAATCTCTCTTCATTGCCGCGGCCTCTGCTTGGCCTGGGTTTGGCCTCGGCTTGGCCTCGGCCGAGATCAAAAGGCCGCCGCACTGCCCACGGCCCGGCCGCGGCCCGCCCGGCCTCGGCCACCAGATCAGCCAGATGATTAGCTTCTTGCAAGGACGGCCTCGGGCGGCCCCAACCCCGACCGCTAATGCACAATCGGGTTCCGAGAACGCGGTGAGCGACTGTACAAAAAAATAATGAATAGTCAGCTTCAAATGAGCGGCGCAGAGCAGGGACACCGATCGCGACTGATTCCGAGAGTCGTTTTCATCGCTATGTCGCTCTCACATCTATAGGCGACGCCCCACGAGTGCGAGAGAGACAGCGACGACAACGACTCTCGGAATCAGTTCAGTGATGCTGCATCACAAAGGCGCATCATTTCGAAAATTGGAACAGCGGCCAAACAAAAGCGGTCAGTGGGGCAGGAATGCGTGTCAGTGGGGACACCTGATGCCGATCGCCACCGCCACAAAGCGGGCCGAGGCCGTGGCGGGGCCAAGCGGGGACTCCCCTCAAAGCGGAGCCCGCAGCCGCACATCGATGTGCCAAAAACAGCGGCCACCACACTGATCCCAAAGGTTGTGTTCGTCGCGCTGTCTCTCTCGCACCTTCACGGGGCGCCCATGAGTGCGAGAGAGACAGAGCAACGACTCTCGGCGTGATGGGCGGCCAGCATCGCGGCGTGCACGAGGGGGAGCGGCGCGGGCGGCGGCACGCGCAACGCTGCGGTGACGCGGCGGTCAGCGGCGGGGTGCTTTTGAAGTCCATGCCCACCCGGATCGTGGACGGCGCCACGGAGGAGGAGGAGGAGGAGGAGGAGGAGGAGGAGGAGGGGAGGAGGAGGAGGAGGAGGAGGAGGAGGAGGAGGAGGAGGAGGGAGGAGGAGGAGGAGGAGGAGGAGGAGGAGGAGGAGGAGGAGGAGGAGGAGGAGGAGGAGGACAATGAGGACGAGGACGGAGGACGAGGAGAACGAGGACGAGATGGATGAGGACGACGAGGACGAGGAGGACGAGGACGACGACGACGAAGACATCGAGCTGCACGACGACGCGGCGGTGCAAGGACGACTGCATCACAATCATCGAGAGCCGTTGGCAGTTAGAAAGAGAGAGACGGGGGCGATAACGCGAGCGAGCGTGCGAGAGAGAAAGAGAGGCAGAGAGTGGGACGGTTTAAGATCTGCGCGCGCGGCCCCGCGAACGAGGCGCGCGGCGAGCGGCGTGGCGGCAGGACAAAACACATTTGCACACTAATGCGAATAGTTAGCATGCAGCGAACGAGCCATACCTCTTATCACCGTTATCACTGCTTCGAACGCACTGCTAACCCTTTCGCGTCTCTCTCTCTCTCTCTCTCTCTCTCTCTCTCTCTCTCTCTCTCTCTCTCTCTCTGCGAAAGGGTGAGGGGCCACTCAAACAGATCGACAGTGCTGCCCCTCCAAGATGACGGCCTTCCTCTCCGCCTCCTCCGAGGCCTCCTTCGTCTCGCCGCGCGTCCCCTACACTTTAACGGGGCTGCCCTTTCCGCGAAAGGGACTCAGTAAAATGATAATTTGCAACTCTCGGGCCGTTCCGCAGCGTTCCGCCCGGCCGATGAATCCGCCTGCCTGCAGCCGAGCGATTCCCGAGGAGTCGTTTTCGTCGCTCCGTCTCCGTCGCACTCACGGGGCTCGCCGTGAGGGTGCGAGAGAGACAGGGCGCCCGACCTAGCCACTGCAGCGTGCAACCACACGGGGCGGAGGGGGCGCTGTTTTAAGGGGTTGTTTGGGCCTTCATTGCTGCCTCTTATCTAATTTTACGATTATTTGCTGTTCTCGAAGGAGCGCGCGGCAATGCGAGGGAGCGTCCACCTTCCACGTAACGCCCGACTGCAGACTGATTCCGAGAGTCGTTTTCGTCGCTGCGTCTCCCTCGCACCTGGACGGGACGCCTCGTGAGTGCGAGAGAGATCCAGAGCGACAGAAAAGCGACTCTCGGAATCAGTCTGCCGCTTCGGATCGGCAAACTGCTGGCGGCGCGGAGCCGTCGGACAAATCCAAGCAACTTTTAATCCCGCTGTTGAGCCGCGCGCGCAACGGCTGCGCGGTATTGCCGCGCCGCGGACGTGCGTCTGGCCGAGTATCGGCAGCAGACCGATCTCGAACAGTGCTCTGTCTCTCTCGCACTCATGCGGCGTCCTGCTTGGGTGCGAGAGAGACAGAGCGACGAAGCAGTGTCCGTGGCCGGCCCGGCAGGAGCGCCTTACGAGTGCCGGTAGGCAACCCGCCCGCACCCGCGTCGGCGTGCTGCCAGCCAACCCGGCGCCTGCAGGCCGACTCCCACCGAGAGGCGGTTTCGTCGCTCTGTCTCTCTCGCACTCACGGAGCGTTCCGCACGGGTGCGAGAGAGACAGAGCGAGGATAACGACTCTCAGTCTGCCGGCCGGCCAAGACGGCGTACTGCACGGCCTAGGAGGGGAGGCAGTCCTTGATCCAACCCTTGCGCGAGGGGCGCCGCCACACCTAGCCGTCGCGACGACTCCCGACTAAAAACCAAACTACCATTACCCTGAGCCTCCCGCTCCCCCTCCCCCGCGCGTCCTCCCAAACTAAAATCAACTAATTTTAAGGCGTGGCGGCCCGAAGGCGGGGAGCACTTTGGCCGGGCGGTGGATCACGCGCGCTAAACCTTTAAACACCCGGCCGTAACATTACCATGCTGGTTGCATAAGTGGCGCGGGCTAAGCCGAGGCCGCACTGCCGCGGCGGCGGTAGTAGTGGCGGCGGAGGCGGCAGTAGTGGCGGTGGCGCTAGTTGCAGGCACGCAGGGATTACAGACCTGTCCTCGACAATTTTCTTCCCGGCACTAGCGCCTCGCGAAACCCATAACGATAACGCGTAAGACAAGGCGCATTTAACGAGCCGTCGGCGGCGTGGCGCCGCGCAGCATCCTCGACGACCCGCAGTGGGCGCCGGCGGCCAAAACTACAAACGCGTTTTGAGCTCCAGAGTCGCTAAATGGGACTCGAACCGAGCGTGTGACCCCACCAATGGATTGCTCTCCGGACGAGGAATCCATTGGTGGGGTCACACGTTCGGTTTGAGGCCCGTTTAGCGAATGGAGCTCAAAACGACTAGAGTTTTGACCACCTGAGCCGGTCTTCTGGCCCATTGTGTGCCGAACCCTCCACTCCTTCCGAGGTGCGTTTCCCGGGTTCAAATACCGCCTTCTCTCGCCTCTATTCACCGCCAAACATTTAGCCCACATTTATTCACTTTCACTTCACTCTCGTCTCCTCACCTGCACGATTTGCTGCCGGACTGGAACTTTCCGGAGAGGTCCCAGCGCTTGGGCACGTCCAGCACGGCGACGCCCTTGGGGCCGTAGAGCGCCACCTGGCGGCCCGTCTCGCAGCACCGGATCCTCTCCACCGGGAAGCTGGGCGGGCGCAGCGGCAGCAGCGTCTGGGAACAACAACAAGGGCTTCAGAAAACAAAAACAACAAAGGTCTTCAGAAAGCAAGAACAACAAGGTCTTCAAACAAGAGCAAAGTCTTCAGAAAGTAACAGCACACCAGAAAGCAACATCAAGGTCTTCAGAAGACAACAGAGGCCTCCAAAACACAAGAGGGCCTTCAGAAAACAATAACAACAAGGCCTTCAAAAAACTACAACTAGACCTCAGAAATCAACGCGGTCTTCAGAAATCAACAACAAGGCTTTCAGACAACAAAAAGATCTTCAGCTATGATGGATTCAGAGGCGGCGTTTTGGGGAGGGTGAAGTAGCAGTTTTTTCTCACGGGGGCGAAGTATGGCTTTTTTAGCCACCTTTCATGCGATATCTACGTGTCACGGAAAGGGGGGGGGGGGGGGGCCCTTTTGCCTTTTCCCAGAACGACGACAACAAAGCTTCCTGAAGACCCCAACAACAACAAAGCCTTTTGAAGACAACAACAACAGCAAGATTCGCGGTGACCGATACACCTGCCGCTCCGCGCTCTAATGCTATGGATATTCCCAATTTATAGGCATGGGCTTCAGCGGGGCAATTATCTGCCTACTCGGCAGCTGGGGATAAAAAAAATAACAAGATGGAAATTGAATTGCTATAAAAGTATAGCGGAGGAGGAGCGCCGAGGAGGGAGACGAGGCGGACGTCGAGCGGCGCAAGACAGAAACAGATATGAAAACAACGCATTGCGGTCCTGCAAACGATATCCTTCATTATTCTTATTATTTTTTGTGAATACGTTTCTTTGGCACGTCCTTATCATCGCGTGTTCATCGCCAGGCGCGGCTCTCTTTCCGTCGATTCACACGGAAAATCGTTTATTAAAAAAAGAGAGAGAATCCGCTATGTGCGTCGCTTTGAAACGCGTTATCAGACTTTGCGATTACAGACGCTCCGCCTTTGAACCCCGACAGATTAATAAATAATAAAACGAGTTTTCAAACGGGATCGATAAGAGCAAAGACTCGGCACCTTGACAAAAAAAAAAAAGAGCCAGCATCGTTTCACTGAGATGTGGTGTGTAGGAACGTGAAAAAATGGAGGGTCAGTTGGGGTAATTTTGGGACACAAGGTTAAAATGGGACAGGAGTTTTCTCGACTAGATTTGACATCTTAGACCTCGTGCTAGACCAAATGTGAAGTTTTTATTTTGAAAATACTGTCACATTTAGTATACGCAAGTCCTGAAATGTCAAATCTTGTCCAGGAAACAGCTGTGCCATTGTCATTTTCCCCTCATGTCTCAAAATAACCCCAACTGACCCTACTTGCTTCCATTTGTTGTAAAATCTATCACGCGTCTCCCTATTTACAGATTCTCCGGCCGGCCGCTTTTTTTTTGTCCAAACAATCATCCACTTCCCGGCGAACCAACTTGTCCGCGTCAGTATCATACACTGATGCGACATTCGCTGCACGACAAAGTTTGGCAGATCATTAAGACGACTCAACAACCCCGCGAGCGGCGAGAGGGGCGCGCGGAGCGGGAAAGAGGCCAACATTTTGCGCAGGCAAAATCTTGTATAGGAAATTAATTTGTCAAGAGCCAAACTCCGGACGGGGAGGCAGGAATAAAAAAAAAGGACAGTATAAAAACAACAACAACACGAGAGCCTGGTTGGCAGAGAAGACGCAATCGTGACGTCATTTGCCAAGTCGGGGATGATGGGGCTGGATCAGAGCAGTCATTGCAGCACAAGAAAGAAAATAAATAAAAAATGTTATCTAGTGCACGCCATTCTTCCTCGTTCCACCACGTTCCACCTCTGGACCTTCCAGGATGACACGGAAGCCACGTGACCTAGTTCTCACCAGCCAATGACCTGAATGGAACTTCGGCCGGACGATTTCACGAAATTATCGCTTTGTGAGACGAAAACAACGGCCGCCCGATGGAACAAGGGGCGGTACACTGCTGGGAACAATCGAAAAGAAATATCCGGGCGACCCCTTCCCTTTTTGCGGCGGAATTAGAGAGAACAAGGACATAAATACCGGCAGCAGTCTCCGAAAAAAAAAAAAAACGCGGCGAGAAGGAAATTACCAGAGCAGCCAGCAGAGCGAAACCAAACGAAACTCAGATCACGGCAAAGAAACAGGCCAAGATAAGCGGCGGGATATTAGGGCGGGCGACTCCAACCGGGACCGAGTATTGAAGTAATAAGTTTCGCCAAATTATTCTTATAAAACAAACACGGCTTTTTCGTGGTTTAAAATAACGGGAAAAGGAGAAAGAAAACGAGAAGCGAGAGCGGGCCAGTCACGTCGCCGGCGAGTGCAACAAGGAGGACAGGGGCGGGGGAGGCGGGGGCAGAAATAATATGCTTCTCGCTCGGTTCATTTCGGACTCGGAAGAATTGAGTCGGGAGTTTTTACGGTCAGAACTTGCGGCCGCTGCTGCGGTGCCCGCGATAGACACTGCTGCGGTGGCTGCGATAGACTCCCGGGTTAGAGGCTACGATAGACGATATGATAGACGCCAAAATAGACACTGCGATTGACGATAGACGCTTAAATAGATACTGCGACAGATGATATGATAGATACTGCGATATATATGATAGACGCTGCGATAGACACTGAGATAAACGATATGATGGATGCCGAAATAGACACTGCGATAGACGATATGACAGACACCGCGATAGACACTGCGATAAACGATATGATAGGCGCCGAAATAGACACTGCGATAGACGATATGATAGACGCCGAAATAGACACCGCGGTAGACGATATGGTAGACGTCGCGATAGGCGCTGTGATAGACACTGCGATGTACGATATATGATAGACGCCGCGATATGCGCTGTGATAGACACCGCGACAGACGCCGCGTTAAAGGCTGAAATAAATGCCGCGACAGACGTCACAATAGACGCTGCTTAGAGGGTGAGATAATCACTGCTGGACACTGCGATAGACAAACGCGACCCAGACGCCGCCCCCTTGGCTGGGCTTTAACCCAACCACGTTGGCACTGCACAGTGGGCCAGAAGACCGGTGGCGGCGGCCAAAACTCTGGACGCAATTTGAGCTCCAGAGTCGCTCAGCAGGACTCGAATCGAACGAGTGACCCCACCAATGGATTGCTCTTTGAACGAGGAATCCATTGGTGGGGTCACACGTTCGGTTCGAGTCCCATTTAGCGACTCTGGAGCTCAAAACGCGTCTAGAATTTTAGCCGCCTCTACTGGTCTTCTGGCCCACTGTGCACTGTCACTCGCGTCCTGATTGGCGGCTGGCTCGGCCAGGTGCGCCCTGGGCTGCCTGCCGACGGTCCTCCTGCCGGGGAGGCGCGGCCCAGCCCGAGCCCCGCAGGCAGGCAGGCCCGCCGAGCCGGAAAAGTATCGGAAGGAGGGGGCTGTCGTCCGCCCACAAATGGCCCATTCATAATTTTGCCTATAAAAATGCGAAGGAACGGGTGAGCAGGCGCAAGGGCGGGGCGGCGGTGGCTGTAGCCGCGGCGGAGGGCCCGCAGACATTATGTTCTCCAGTTTCTCCTTACTTTTTTTTCTCGCTGTTATTTTTCGCTGCCTATAACCAATTTGCGTGCGTGTTGTTGGCAACGGGGCGGCGTGCCTCCTCTGCGAAGTGGGCCACCGCCTCCAGCTTCCAGCCGCGGGGACCTTCCGGTCCAGACGTACAGTGGGCCAGCAGACCGGTGGAGGCGGCCAAAACTCTAAACGTGTGTTGAGCTCCAGAGACACTAAATGGGACTCGAACCGATCGTGTGACCCCATCAATGAATTCCTCGTTCGGAGAGCAATCCATTGGTGGGGTCACACGTTCGATTCGAGTCCCAGTCAGCGACTCTGGAGCTGGAAACGCGTCCGGGATTCTGACCGCCGCCACCGGTCTCCTGGCCCACCGTGCACTGCACGCTTCGCCCCGCTTCGCACCGCGTCGCGCCATAAAGGGCGGGCAATCGCAGAGATAAAGGACCGCCAAAAAAGCGCCATGATTTGTGCGAGTTAGGCCCTTTATCGGCGACCGGCAACCGTGACCCGAAAAGTGGAGGGGGGAGGGGGGAGACTCACCGGTCTTGGCACGGGGCGCGGGCACCACGGCGATGCCTTCAAACATCCCGCCCCCGAGGGGAAGGAGGGGAGGGGGAAGGAGGGGAGGGGGAGGGAGGGGAGGGGAGGGGGGGAGGGGGAGGGAGGGGAGGGGGAGGGAGGGGAGGGGAGGGGGAAGGAGGGGAGGGGGAAGGAGGGGAGGGGCAGGGGGAAAGGGAAAGTGGGGGAGGGGGTACCGCGCCCCCTTCTTCCGCTTGCGGATGCAAATCGAAAAGAGCAGCGGAGGCGGCCGAGGGGTCTTACACCGGGCGGGCCGGGCTCGGACCGCGCTCGGACCGCGCTCGGACCTCGTCGACAAAGCCATCCGGGTCCCGGCCGGGGCGGCGGGCAATGCGACGCGGCGAACGCTGGCGAACGCGCCGGCGAACGCGCCCAGCGGAAAAATTGAAACAAAGCAAATGTAAAACTCACCCATTACTTTGGCGCACCCAGCATATAAATTATTCGATTTTTTTTTTCATTTCTCCTTTCCTTTCACTTTTTTTCCCTTCCTTGCGTAGGAATGAAAGGGCAGCACAGAGAAGGACGGGAATAATATCGGGGCCTAAGTATAAAGGATGATGGAATCTACGGCTTAAAGGCAATTTTTATTCTATGTATGCATGCCGCCCCGCCCCGCCCCGCCTTCCCGAACGCATTCGCGGCACGTCGGCATTAAAGCAATCCGCGATTACGCTGATAACGTATCGCCCAAAAATTAATTAGAAAGAGACGCGGCGGCGGTCGTCGTCGTCACACACAGCCCTTAATGGAGACCCGAAAAGCGGCCCGGGGAGGCAAAAAAGGAGGAAAACCGCAAAGAAAATGATCAACGGGAAAAGAAAAGGCGGCGGACGGAATCGGGATGCAAAACAAAAGGCGAGGCCGAACCGC